AAGAAAGAAAGAAAGAAAGAAAGAAAGAAAGAAAGAAAGAAAGAAAGAAAGAAAGAAAGAAAGAAAGAAAGAAAGAAAGAAAGAAAGAAAGAAAGAAAAAAGGAAAGAAGAAAAAATATTTCCTAAGATTTGGGGAGATTGGGGCTTGTTTGTCATATGTGTGTATGTGGTGTACGTGTGTGTTTGTGAACATGCATGGGTGGAAGTACCCATGTGTGCATGTGCAAGACCAGAGGGGGATCCTGGGATGCTGCACTCTGCCACTCCCTGCCGGTATCGTAGAAACAGGGTCTCCCACTGAGCCTGGAGCTCACCAGCTTCTTCAGTTAGGCTGTCTGGGCAGTGAGCTCCAGCCATCCTCCTGTCTCCACGCCCCACAGCACCAGAGTTACAGGTGTGCATGGCCACATCTGGCTTTTATGAGGGTGCTGAGGTCAAAACTCAGGTCCTCAAGCTTGTGTAGCAAGTATTTTACCCACTGGGCCATCTCTTTTGCCCCAATATTTCCTAGCTTTAAAAAAAGACAAATGTTATTTAGAGCCTAGAGCACATTAAAAAGGTGGAGTGATAGATGATAAATTGCACGGCCTGGACCACCCAGATGAGGGATTTGGACCCTTATTCAACATGAAACCATCAAGAGTCTCTAGAGTCTAGGAGCAGGCACAGGGAGTGGCTGCCAGAGGCAGGAGACTGGCTGTTTCTGTGAGAGGTCACCAGTTTCCCTTGCAGTCTTGTGCTTCCTTTTCCCTATTATTCCAGCTGTGCTTCCAAGCAGGCATCAGCCAGGCCTCACGTCACTCGGGCCACTCAGGCAGCATGGGCTCTCTCACATTTCCCTGCCAACAGGTACGCCGCTTAAGGGTTATTCTCATGGACAAAGCACCGGGCTTTCTCCAGAGTAGCACCGTGCTGGTGGCAGTGGGCCAAGCAGAGCCCAGTCTGATGCCTGCCTGCCTGCCTGCCCTACAAGCTTGGTCCCACCACAGCGTGTGGTAATCATCCAGGATGGATCCAGTTTAGAATAGGACGCCCAGTTTAGATGCCTCCATTTGCTAGAAGGAATAGATCTACCCCAGGCCGCCCTGGGGCTCACTGGTGATCCAGAAGCCGAGTCTCTCCACTGCCCACTTTGGTGATGCTGTTAGAGCTAATAGATAAATATATACTTTCTGTTTAAAATAAGTGCTTTGTCTGCCTTGCAGAAAACTGCATTCTTCTTACATCAAAATGGCTGGAACTTGAAGGCCATATTTTTTTTTTTTTTAGCAAGCTGATCGAAATCCAAAGGGAAATGCCTCCTGAAATATGCAAAAAACATGACGTCTTCACATGCAAAAACAAAACAAAACAAAAAACCACAGCAGCCCATGTGAGCCTCACAGGCCTGCTCTCCAGAGCCCAGAAGCCTCCTTGCCCTTGGCAGCCAGGCCAGAAACACCCCCTATCCTCACCATCTGGCATTTTTGTCTGCAAAGCACAGGCTTGCTATCCTGGGCTGCCTGCCACCCTGACGACAGAGTCCTGACGACAAAGCCCAGGCGCAGGAGATGGCTGCAGGCTGCACCTCCCTGCTGTGGTCCCAGACATGCACATGCACACATATGATCACACACAGGTGCACATACACACATGCACATAGACAGAACAAAACTTAGAGCCCCCACCCTACTCCCTGGCCTTGCCAAAGTGGGTGGAGGCTAGGCCTGCCCTGCAAGTCAGCTCTTCCCTAACACCATCTTCTCCACACACCAGCCAAGGAGGGCAGATGTCAGGGGGAAGCGAGGGAGGGAGGAAACAGCTTAGGGCTGCCAGCAGGACTGGAGGGAGGAAGCAGAGCCCTAGGGAGTGCATCAGGCAGGTGGCAGAGGGGGCCTCATTTGCTGGGCCATCTGTCGGGAGCAAAGAGAAGACCCCTAACTCCACAGCCCAGGCCCTCCCCTGCACAAACACTCACTTACGCCACCACACACATACACAGATCCTGACACCAACACAAGAACTTAGGAATATGGCCAAACATACAAGTATCCACACATAAATATCTACAACTGTATATACCAGTATACACATACACACACATAGCCTCCCCATGAAGATGCTGCCGTCGACATACAAAACCACATATGCTCACACACCCACTCATAAATATCCATGATTATAATACCATGTGAACATACACACATGGGCCCATAACTACACAAATGCAGTTGTCTGTACTCATGTATATGCAATGCTACAGGTATACAGGCTCGTGCATACACACCACATACCTTCTCACATTCATGCCTATCCATAGATACATCATATAAGTGTGTAAGTGCCTACACAGGAACACTGAAACCCCCAGTCACATACATTAATACCTTGGTACCCATGAGGCTGGTTCCATCCTTTCTCTCAGGACACTGAGATCTTAGATAAAGTGATACAGTGTCTGCATATAACCTGCTCCACTCTCCATCCTCCTGGAAACTTCACAGCCCCTGTGGATAAATGATACCTCACACAATGGACTGGTGAGTGAACAATGCTCATGTCGCATCATCTAAGGAGTCATGGCAGAAAAGAGAAGTGGGCACATGGTGGGTACAGGTGCAATTTCTTTTTCAACTCTCTTCAATCCGCAGATGACTCCACCCATGCATGCAGAACTCATAGACCTAGAGGAATGACCATTGTCTTGCTCATGTCCCAACCAACTCACACAAGATCGTGTCTGCCCTGCCTGGTCTCTGTCACCCCCGCACTCTGCTGCCTTCCCCGTAGATGTCTCTGGCTCAGGTATTGCCAGTCTGTGACCATACACCGGAATCTCTTAGGTACCTTTCATTAACACCAACCGCAGAGTCCTGCTCCTCCGTTTCTGACTCACCCAACTGAGGGAGAGGCTGGGAAGGATTGAGAATCTCCTGAGCTGCACAACTGGCCTGGCATTCATTCCCATTCCCAGATCCATAGCATAATGGGGCTTAAAACTGCCTAAGCCTGGAGCTGGAGAGCTGGTGGCTCAGCAGTTCCGAGTACTTGCTGCTCTCACAGAGGGCCAGGCAAAGGTTCTCAGCCTCCACACACCAGCTTACAACTACCTGTAACTCCAGTTCTGGGGCACCCGAAGTTTCCTCAGGCATTGGACACATGAGGTGTACTTATATTCATGAGAGCAAAACATTCAAACACATAAAATAAAAAACAACAATTCTGTTTTTTGGTTTTTCAAGACAGGGTTTCTCTGTGTAGCTTTGTGCCTCTCCTGGGACTCACTTGGTAGTCCAGGCTGGCCTCGAACTCACAGAGATTCGCCTGGCTCTGCCTCCCGAGTGCTAGGATTAAAGGCGTGCGCCACCACCGCCCGGCAACAATTCTGTTTTTAAAATACTTAAGCCTACTGGCCTGTTTGTTGATCCTTATCTTGGGAAAAGCCATAGTGCCTACTACTTAGAAGACCCATCCAAGTTTGTCTTCAGAACGATTATAAGACATATAGCAACTGGTCCTCGTCCTCACCAACCGAGCATGTCGCCATCCTCTCTACTGTTGACCTGCTGCCACGGTACACTCCTGAAATGCACTTAGTCCAAGAGCTTCGTAATGAAATCTCTGTGATTTAGACATGCTCTGAGGCCCACACAGCCAATGCCCCTCTGACCCCTGTGCCCCACAAAGGGACCCCACCATCCAGAGACAGGTGGAGAAATTCCATGTAGCCTGCTTCCTTCTTTTTAGTTTCTACTATCGCTTTTTGTGCAAATAACAGCGAAGACCCTCTACATGCCCCAAATTGTCCGGTCCAGGGTGAACTTCTACAGTGGCTGTTCATCATCTTAGCCCATCGGAGGTGTCTAGACACCATTTAGGCAAGGAGGAAACGGAAGCCGAGGAAGCTGGAGACGTGCACAAAGCCACACAATCAGTGGCTACCTCTGCCTCACTTCCACTGATTTCTCCATCACATACCAAGCTTCAAGTCACTTGCCTCTGCTCTCTGGGTCCCCTTCATTTTGGACCCTCTTCACCACCCAGCAGGCTGCCATTCTTGTCACAAGAGCAAGGGTCAGCTGAGACAGCGACTCAGTGGGTGGGGATACAGCAACTGAGGAGTAACTGGTCACAGGCCTTGTTTTTGTTTGTTTCTTTGGTTGGTTGGATTTTTTGGTTTTTTTTTTGTTGTTGTTGTTGTTGCTTTGTTTGTTTATTTGTTTTTTGGTTTTTTGAGACAGGGTTTCTCTGTGTAGTTTTTGTGCCTGTCCTGGATCTCTCACTTTGTAGATCAGGCTGGCCTCGAACTTACAGAGATCCTCCTGGCTCTGCCTCCCGAGTGCTGGGATTAAAGGCATGCGCCACCATGGCCCAGCATACAGGCCTGTTTTAAAGATGCTAAAAATAGGGGTTGGGGAGGACAGCATTGTAGCATGAATGTTAACACGTTCTTATTAATAAAATCAAACCTGAGCCAGGTATTGGGGTCAACTGGAAGATCAGAGAACCAGAACAAGCCACAGCTACCTCACCTCGCCGGATCCTCAGCTGGTCTTGTTTCCTCAGACTGGAGGCTTCTGAGTCCTCATCCAGAATGGGTCTCAGCTGAACTGCTGCTAGAAGCCTGAAAGCTTAACCAGCCAAAAGCTTCTAGTTCCTGGTCCTCACGCCTTATATACCTTTCTGCCTTCTACCATCACTCCCTGGGATTAAAGGCATGAGTCACCATGCTTGGCTGTATCCTTGAATACATGGATTTCTGCCTAGCTCTGCCTCCCAAGTGCTGGGATTAAAGGTGTGTGCTACCACTGCACACACCTTTAAAAAAAATCCTCTATGTTTAATATTGTGGCTGTTCTGTCTCTGACCCCAGATAAGTTTATTAGGGTGCACAATATTTTGGGGAACACAATACCACCACACAGCATGCAGCATGCAGTGTGACTGAATTGCTCAAAGCAGGACCAGTGACAAAAGCAGAGAGGAAACAGACTAGCCTTTCCAGCTACTGCTTAGCCTGAGGCACTGTCAGGCTCTCCAGTGGATTGCAGGGGTGGGGAGGGGAATCACGATCAGCCAGCTGGGAGCACTCTGAGTGTTAGTGTTCTTCCCACACACCCCTGCCTGTGAGATCTTAGTTTCTCGCCTTCTCTGAACGAAGGCAGGGGTAGCACCCTTCTCACTGGGACAGCATAGGATCTGATGGGATACTTTCTGAACGATCACCTAGAACTTGATTGATAGATCTCAGTGAAGTAGGTCTGTCTCAATCTGGTCAACAACTATCCATATGCCAGATGAATATTCTAGATTATTGCAAAATTTTATTTGTAATGAACAGAGATGGGAGTAGTCACTGCCTGAACTCTATTGTGGATACCAAAAGCTGGGGCTCAATTTCCACCATTATGGGGTGTTTCTATATGTAGCTATAAAGGAGGCAGTCCCTCCTCCCAAGGAGTTCAGATTCTTTTAGAGAAGAAAGAAAAGTCTAGAAATAAATACTATGTAAGGAAGAAGACAAAAATAATCCAAGTCCCTTAGCCAAGTGAGGAGCCTGAGAGTCTGGGGAGCAAATGATTCCACAAGAACACGTGGTTGGGCAGGGCAGGGTAAGGGGCTCCCATGTGAGCATGGGCTTCGTGTCCTGCCCTAGACATTAGCAGCAAAGTGGGAGCGGTGTTCTTCCATGTAATCTGAACCTCTCACACCACTTCAGACTCGACGAAAATAGAAAGACTCTGAGAGTGCAGAACAAAGATAAAATAAGAAAACTGAACCCTCCCATCTATAAACACAGCAAAAATGACATAAACCACCCAGAAATGTTCCTCACAGGAGGCAAGCACACTATATTTTTGTTTGCATCAAACTTATAAGACCTGAGATAGTGGAAGATGTGCCATGTTTCTAGATTCGTGACTAGGGAATCATGAAATGTTTATTTTTTCCCAACTAAATTCATGGCTTGAACCAATTGTAAAGAAATCCCTTTCTTTATAAAGAATGATTCTGAGCTTCATCTGGATAGAGTTAGGCAAGAAATATGCACAGGAGAGAAGGAAGGAGAGTGACTATGAGCACTTCTATATCCATGTACAAAGTTCCAGGCTGAAGAGGCAGGTCAGAAAAGCAGAGGATGCAGACAGCAGCAGATGGAAGTGCACAGGAGAACTGAGGATCAAGCGCAGGACTGGACAACGGGATGCATGATTTGACACACAGAGCTGGGAAACTGGACACTTGGGGGAGATCCTGCTGGAAACTCACCTCAGCGTTGTAGCAAGAGTCAAAACAAGAACGTGCCATTTTATAGTCATCTGTGTTCTTTCTAAACACAAATGTGAAGGAACACACAGTGGAAAAATGGGTTCAAAGTGTGCACCAATTTGAAACTTGTAAAAGTCAAAACCTGTGTCCAAACAATGGTTGAAGTTGAATGGTGGGTACCAAGATGATATGCTATTCTTTCTGGTTCTGTGCGCTTAAAGGTATATATATATATATATCTTCAAAGTGTGTGTGTGTGTGTGTGTGTGTGTGTGTGTGTGTGTGTGTGTGTGTGTAGTGTCTTAGTTAGGGTATCTATTGCTGTGATGAAACACCATGCCCAAAAAGCAAGTTGGGGAGAACAGGTTTTGTTTCACTCACAGTTCCATATAACAGTTCATCATCAAAAGCAGTGAAAGCAGGAACTCAAGCACAGCAGGAACCTGGAGGCAGGAGCTGACACAGAGGCCATGGAGGAGTGCTGCTTACTGGCTTGCTCCTGATGGCTTATTCAGCCTGCTTTCCTATAGAATCTAGGACCGCCAGCCAAGGGATGGCCCCACCCACAATGAGTTGGGCCCTCCTCCGTCAGTTACTAAGAAAATGCCTTTACAGGCTTGCCTACAACCCAGTCTTGTGGGGGTATTTTCCTAAATGATGTTCTTTCCTCCAAGATGATTTCAGTTTGTGTCAAGTTGACATAGTTTTTAAAACTCACATAAGCACACAGCTGTAATCTCAACATGTGGAAGGCAGAGACCGAGCAAGCCAATGTGGGATAGGTAGGAGAATTAAATCTAAAAGACAAACAGCCAGAGGAGAAAATTACATCTTCTGGCACTATAGTCCATGAACCTTCATCTTCAGGGTATGCAGAGTTCCTCTGAATTGCCAACAATCACCAGAGCATCAGTAGGTAGGAATCGATGACCCCCTTGAGCATCCTTTCCCTTCCTGGTGCCTCATGGCCTTTGTTCTTCATTCAAGAACCCACAACAATTGTCTGGAAGCTAATCCTACCCCTCTCTATCTGTTCTGGAGAATATTGTGTGCTGTGGAACAATCCGTTTCTACACTATGGATATGTATTACTCTCATTAGTTTATAAACAGCTGACAGGCCAGTAGGTGGGCAGGAAGTTAAGCGGGAAAGCCAAACTGAGAATGATGGGAAGAAGGAGGGCAGAGTCAGGAGATACCAGAGACACCAGAAAAGCAAAATGGTAAAGGACAAG